TTCTTATCACTAGAGATTAGTTTTACTTTCTCTAGAATATCACATAAAGGCAATGGAACCATGCATGCTTTTTGTGTCTGGCTTTTTTTCACTTCGCTTAATGTTTTTAAGATTCATCCAAATTGCGTGGACATTAGTTTATTTCTTTTATTGTTGAGGATTATTTCATTTGTATGTGTACCATTTGTTTTTTCCATTCACGAGTTGATGGAAATTTGTGTTTTTTGCAACTTTTGGCTGTTACCAAAACTGTCATAAACATTCTGTATACAACTATGTATGGACATGTGTTTTCATGTCTCATGCAGGAGGGGAATTGCTCGCTCCTATAAGTGTAAATTTAACTTTATCAGAAACCACCAAACTATTTTCTGAAGTAACTGGACCACTTTTCATTGCCACTAGCAATGTAGAAGCATTTTATTTGTTGCACATCCTTGTCAATACTTGGTATTGTATTTTTATTTTACCTCTTCTAGTAGGAATATAGTGGCTTTTCAGTGTTTCTAGTTTGCATTTTTTTATGTTTTATTCTATTAAACATCTTTTTATGCAATAATTGGACGTTCATGTTCATGCGTCTTCTTTTGTGAAGGATGTATTAAAATCTTTTGGTCTTTTTTATATTGGGTAGTTTGTCCTCTTATTGAATTAAAAGAGTTTTTAGTGTATGTTTTGGATACCAGTTCTCTGTCAGATATATTTATTGCAAATATTTTCTTTTTGTAGCTTGCTCTCCATTCTTTTTTTCTATCGTGGTTCATGCTTCAATACTCTGAGAAATCTTTGTCTATTTCAAGGTTACAAAGTTACTCCCTATGTTTCCTTTTAATAGTTTTATTGTTTCAGCTTTTATATTTAGTTTTGTGATCCATTTCAAGATAATTTTTGAGTATTAGTATGAAGTAAGATAGAAATTGTGTTGGTCTTTTAAATTTGTAGTATGGTGTAAGATCAAGGTTTTTGTTGTCTTTTGCATCTGGGTATCTAATTATTGCAGGACAATTTGTTGAAAAACCAATTATTTCTCTACCTTTGTAAAAAATCAATTATGTAGGTTGATCTGGACCCTATTCTTTAATATTGTTCTATATTTCTATCCTTTAGCTAATTCCACATTGCCTTGATTGTTGTGCTTTATTCTAAGTCTTAAAGTAGATACTAAGTCTGCCAGCTATTCACTTTCAAATTTGTCTATTCTAGGACCTTTGAATTTCCGTGTAGATTTCAGAGTTAGCTTATCAATTTCTTCAAAAGTCTATGGGGCTTACATTGGAATTCCACTAAATCTATAGATCAATTTGAAAAGATTTGAGTCTTGTATTCCCTGAACATAATATACGTATCCATTTATTTCATTTTCTTTACTGACCTTCAGAATTTTTATACTTTTCAGTGTAGAGCTAATTCATACATATATATTGTCAAATTTCTCCAAAAATATTTCATGTTTTTGGAATTAATCATAAATGGAATTTTTAAAATTTCAATTTCTAAGGTAAGATTTTAATATTTTGGAATATATTGGGGCTTGTTTTTTGGAATAGCATTTGTTTGTCTTGATGTACATTCTAAATGCCTGAAGAATGTATATTCTGGAACTGTATATTATATAAGATAGTCTATAAGATTGTTCAGATTTTCTATTTTCTTGATGATTTTCCTCCTTAGTTCTGCCAATTACTAAGAAATGTATAAAATCTCCAAATTGAATTTATGTCTTTCTTTGCTCTTCTATCAGTTTTGCCTTAAGCATTAATATTTTTAAAGGAATTCTAAGAAACAATTTATACACATACACACACCTATCTATATACATCTATACACACACATCCATGCACATAAGTGCATATTTACATGATCAGAGTGTTATAATTTCCCACATATTTGTCATTATTTGTAATCTTTATTCCTTCCTATAAGTGTAGTTTGCCATGTTGTGTAATATTCCTTTAGCTTTTAGAGTCCTGTAGTAGAAGTCTGCTGTTCTATCTGAAAATAGTATTTCAACTCAATTGCTAAATATGTTTTACACATTTAGAATTTTTAATTAAGTTGTTTCTTTTTCAACTTTTTGAATACAAAATTATCATATCATCTAGCCTCCATTGTTTTTGATGAGAAATCACTTAATTTTATGATTGTACCTCTGTATGTCACATGTCATTTCTCCCTTTTGTTTCCAAGATTTAGCTCTGATGTACTTAGATTTAGGTTTTTTGCATTTATCCATGGAGAGGCTTCTGGTGCTTCTTAAATCAATATTTCATCAAATTTAGGAAATTTTTAGCCATGACTTCTTGAAATATTGTTTCTGTTTTTTATTGTCTCCCAATGTCCTTAAGACTGTGCTTAAATATGTTTTGGACTGCTCTGTATTGTTCCAGGTCTCTGAGGTGCTGTTCAGTTATCTTAATTTTATCTCTTAATTTTTTCTCTGTTCTTCAGCTAATTTCTGTTGAACTTCCTTCAGGTATACCAGCTATATTTTTCCTTTATCTCCTATCTACTTGGATAGGAGATCACCAAATAAATTTTTCATATAAGGAGTGATAATTTTAAACTCTAAATTTTCTATCTGATTCATTTTAATAGTTTCTCATTCTCTGTTGATATTCCTTTTCTGTTTACTTATTGAATATATTTTCCTTTAATACTTGTGGGGTTGTTTGTTTGTTGTTGTTTTTTTAATTAATTAAGTAAGTCCAAACCCAGCATAGGGCTTTAACTCAAGACCCTCAGATTAAGCATCACATGGCCTACTGATTGAGCCAGCTAGTGCCCCTCCTTTAATACTTCCAATACATTTTACTTTGAGTCAGTTTTTGTAGGTTGTGTTTTCCCTAGTATGGATCATATTCAGTAATTTTTGGCTAAAATCTTTACATTGTAAAAAACTGCATTTTAATGATTCTGAATTTCATTCTGTTTTCCCAAGGATTTCAGGATTTTTGTTTTAATAAACAGTTAACTTGCCTAATCTTAAATTAATTCTCATTTCAATATACTGTGCAGCAGATAGTATCTACCTCTACTCAGTTTTCTAGGTTTTAGATTTTGCTTTTTTAACCTGGTCACATAGGGTCATCTCTTACAATCAGAACTTAGAAGAGAGCTATTTTTTTTAAGATTTTATTTATTTATTCACGAGAGACACAGAGTAAGAGGCAGAGACATAGGCAGAGGGAGAAGCAGGCTCCCTCTATGGAGCCTGATGTGGGACTCAATCCCAGGACCCCAGGATCACACCCTGAGCCAAAAGCAAAACACTCAACCACTGAGCTACCCAGGTGCCCCGAGAACCAAATATTTATACAGAATTTATACTCATTTGGGGGCTCACACTTTCTGTGATTCTCAGCCCTGAGATTTGTCCCCGGCCTTTCAAGTCAATAAGACTTCAGCTTCTTTATGACAAGATTCTGCTCATTGGGAAATGCATACCTTCAAAGGAGTACCAAATTTGTAAATCTCGCATGCTTTAGTTGTCTTTCAACTTTATCCTGTTCTCTCTTTCCTACCTACTGTTTCTCCCACTCATTCATTGATAGCTTAGTGGTTAACCAAGGATTTGGACACATTTGGTAAACTTTGCAGAGCTCTTACTTCAGGGATTTTCCCCCTAAACTTTCAGCTATTTTGACAACACTGAATTTTACATTCTGCCACCTTAAGTTGGAAAAGATATGATTTAAAGCGGCCAGAGCTAAGGGAGATTAAGTACCCAATTTTAGGAAAAAAACCCGGAAACTTGAAATTCTTACATGTCATGATCACGATCTTAAAGAAGGAAACTGCTGTGGTTGCTATCTGCTTTTCATTGCTTTGCAGTGCCTTCAAATATTAATTTTTAATGTTTTATTCAAGTTTTATTCTTACAGTTGCACCATGCTAACATTACCTTAAGTTCAAACTTCTTAGGAATATTTTTAATAGCATAGTTTTTACAAATATTAACAATGCCTGGCATACTATAGGCATTCAGTTAGTATTTGTTGAATAAATTAATAATGGCTTCTCAAGTAATTCAATAAATCTACCTTTGTCTCTTTGTGTTGTGGTCAAAGTAGTAAAAGCTAATGTAAAAGTGTAGGTTTTTATCAGTAACATTAAGAAAAAGATATACTTAAGTTGCTTATATTATATCACAAAATCTCAAAAATATTTAAAAATTTTGTCAAAGAAACCTGGCATATCATTTTTCTCATAAAAATTCAAAAAGAGGGGAAGATAAAGGAATAACAAAGGGTAAAAGAACTGTTTAGGAAAACATGTAGTACAAATTTAGTAACTCTCAAAGTCTTCATTTTTATGAGGCACCTGGGTGGCTCAGTCAGTTAAGCATCTGACTTCGGCCGAGGTCATGGCCTTAGGGTCCTGGGATCAAGCCCCCCCTGGGGCTCTCTGCTGAACATGGAATCCGCTTGTCTCTCTCCCTCTGCCCTTCTCCCATTCATGCTTTCTTTCCTCTCTCTCAAATAAATAAAATCTTGAAAAAAATAAGGTCTTCAATTTTAAATTGCTGTTGGATGTGACCAAAAACACAAACGTAGAAGTAATACTATTTTTATGAATTTTATAAACATTAATTTTCAGACCTCATACACTAAGTGCTTAATTATTATGACATGTAAGAAATGTGTGAGTTTACAAATTGGTTGATAGGTAAGAAGCATTTTAGAGATGCAAAGCCTGAAAAAAAAAATCTTAGGAAAAAAAAATTTGTGATTTCTTTGCTATAATCATGCATAACCCTCTAAACTTTGTGGATATCAGCAGTGGTGTTGAGGATGGAGAATAATTTTGGAATCAGACTATATTAAAAGTACTCACTTCTGATTAACTATCTAGATAAGTCTCTTAGCCTATCTAACCATACTTTAGGAAGACAATTATTGCCTCATTTCATATAGTTGTTTTAAGGAGAAAAATTATAAAAACATCTTAGTGTGCTTGGCGTACGGTAGGATTCTGACTATATTTTTTTCTTTTTTTTACAGAAGAGGATAAATATAATATTTATTCTTCGTTGCTCTTCAAGTATTTCCTGGCAGAAGGAGTTATCAATGGGCATACTTTGTTGGTTGCATCTGCAAAAGAAGACCCTGCTGATATTTTACAGGTATAGAACATACCAATCAATGTTGCATTTTGAGCATTACATAAAAAATATTGCTTTTATATGTAAACAAGATATGTCTTTGTATATCTACAAACTATATTTAAATTTATTAATGAGACCATATGTATTTTTTTCTCTTAAAGAAAAGTATCACATTTGAACCTGTAGTTTCATTTTTAAGTTATTTTCTTGAACAGTTTTCTAAACTTTAAATTGATATTGGCATTGGGAAAAATATGAGCAAGCTACTAAAAATTGATAGTAAATAAAGCTATTACTATAGTCACAATAAGATAACTCTGTAAAAAGTTAAGTAAAGGAAAACAATAGCAAAATATTATCTGATATTACCAGTATTCTAAAGATGTAAATTAGAAGAAAGATACAGAAATTAGAAGTACTCATTTATTAATCTCACTTTGCTTTGAGACTACCAAAAGTCATTCTTTTACAAGAAACAAGCAATAATAATAATAATAATAATAATGTATCTTTTTAATGCCAGAATACACATCGCACCTGAGAAAGGACAATTCTCACTTTCAGAATTCTTAAATTCTCTGTCCAGAACAGGAACCCAACTTAAGCCATTATTTGAATAGAAGTCATTATTTGAAATAGAATCTAAAGTTATTTCTTCCCATAGTATGTTTTCATTTCCTTACATAGTCTGCAAAATAACAACTAAGTCATTTATAAGGAATTTGTAGCATAGTATTAATATACCATACCTATCAACAGACACCAACAAACTTCCATACCCACTATAAAAAAGTTATGTAATACTGAGGTAAAACTAACATGATTCTTTCTTATGTGTCAGAGTTTGCTTATTAAATAATGATGTCATAAAATCCAAAGGGAAAAATCTTTATATGATTTTCCAAAGAATTTTCTTCTGGTTGCAGAGCCTGTTTTCATTTTTTTCTTATTTTTGGTGTTTGGCTTTTGTAATATTTTCTCAATCTTTTTATTTCTTCTTTTGTTCCTTTTCCCTGGTCTTAATCAACTTGCTCAATTTCTGGACAGCACTGTGCTTGCTAGGAACAGGAGAGTAAAGGCCAAGATTACAGTCCTAAAGAAGCTATACAAGCTCTTCACGGCACATTCCACCATAATATTGAGACTTAGATTTTATATCAAACATCTTAATAGCCAGATAAGCATTTTTTGCCAGGACAGAAGCAGAAAAACCCTTGTCCCTTGAATAAAATGGGAGTTAAAGACACTGATCCCCTTCACAGTTAAAGATCACATATAACTTTTGACTTCCATAAACTTAACCACTAATAGCCTAATATTGACCAAAAGCCTTACTAATAAATAATACTAATACTATTAAGACATATTTTGTGTGTTATATGTATATATATGTATATATATGTATTATAGTGTTTTTAAAGTAAATTAGAGAAAAGATAATGTTTTTGAGAAATCATAAGAAAGAAAAAGTACATTTACAGTACTATATTTATTAGAAAAAATCCACATATATGCAGACCTATGTAGTTCAAACTTGTATTGTTAAAGAATCAACTATATGCTTTTCAAAATAGTGTTTGATTTTTCCTCGTTGCCTCCTGCAACCTAGGCAACATTTTAAAACCTAGTAGGCATATAACACATTTTGCTTTAGACAATTACACTTTTTATTTGAAAACTAATCTCCTAACAACCTTTCCTAGGTACCTTGAATTTGTACAAGTTAATAAATTTTTTTAAAAAGTTAATAATAAAAATCTCAGGATACTTTTTACCTGTCCTTCTTTGGATTGTGTGAATAATTGTGAAGTTACACATCAGGATTTCTTAAGCTTTCTAGTCATTTATGTAAGTAATTAGGTTCTGCAGACATTTATCAATTTTATGATACAGTAAAAAAATATATAAAATTAAAGTAAAAACATAGACGCTTAAGACACACTTTGACCAAGATATGTTAATGAGGATCAGATTTTCTTTATCCCTGAAACAACCAAAAAACAGGGCAAAATATATTTAACAACAGTTTTCAAGACATTGGGCATCAAATAATAAAGGACAGTGACTCCAGAGACATGCAGAATATACAAAGGGAGTCCTATTAAAAGGGCTTTGTATAAATATACAAAGCCAGCCCTCCCTGACATACCATATGCAAAGTTTCCAGGCTGTAGTGCAGTGAAAAGGAACTCAGGTTAACACAGCATTAGGAGATAGATCTAAGAGTGTGGAATTGTGACATAGACTGTCTTCATCTGTAGCGTAAGTGTAGTTTAAAGAAATACATATGGGTGGCAAGTTGACAAGGGGTGGACTTATGAATGTTAATTTTTGTGTTCACTTGACTGGGCCACAGGGCTCACAGATATTTGATCAAACATTATTCTAAGTACTCTTACAAGGATGTTTCTAGATGAGATTAATATTAAATTGGTAGGGGTGCCTAGATGGTTTGGCCATTTAAGCATCTGCCTTTGGCTCAGGTTATGATCCCAGGGTCTTGGGATCAAGCCCCACATCAGGCTCCCTGCTCAGTGGGGATTTTGCTTCTCCTTCTCCGTCTGCCCCTCCCCCAGGTCATGTGCTCTATCTCTCTCTTAAAAAAATAAAATAAAATAAAAAATACTTAAATTGGTAGACTGAGTAATGCAGATTGGCATCCCTAATGTGAGTGGGCCTCATCAAATCAGTTGAAGGTAGAAATAGAACTGAAAGGCTGACCCTCCCTCAGCTAAGAATGAATTCCTTCTGACTAATTGCCTTCCAATCTGAACATCAGCTTTTTCCTGCCTTTTAATTCAGACTGAAACATCAATTCTTCCTGATTCTTGAGCCTTCTAACATTTGAATGGGAACTACACCACGATGAGCTCTCCTGGGTCTTTAGCTTGCTAACTTATCCTGCAGACCTGGGGGTTTGTCAGCTTCCATAATAGTATTAGCCAATTCCTTATAATAGATCTCTTTTGTATTTATATATAGATACGTATATAATATGTACACTATATATATAAGTACATATAATATAAAGCAATATATATACACACACATCTTATTGGTACTGTTTCTCTGGAGAACTCAGACTCTTAAAATCTTCCTGAAAATATGAAGATTATGTTTAAAACCTACATGAAGAATTTCACTTTTATTTATTAACCTTCATTAAATAATTATCAGCTCACATTCTATATCTTGGCCAGTTTTACAGATAGTAAAGTACAGTGATCTTTCCACCTTTTTGCTTTTACATTTATAAAAAAAATTTAAATTATATATCTACTTTTACATAGTTACTTAAAAATTTCAATTATGATATTATTTAGTTGTAAAAGATGGTATTGTAAATATTGTATTTTTTTAAAAAAGATTTATTTATGGGAAGCCCAGGTGGCTCAGTGCCTTAGCACCACCTTCAGCCCAGGGCATGATCCTGGAGACCCGGGATGTAGTCCCGCATCGGGCTCCCTGCCTGGAGCCTGCTTCTCCCTCCGCCTGTGTCTCTGCCCCTCTCTCTCCCTCTCTCTCTCTCATAAACAAACAAACAAATAAATAAATAAATAAATGAATAAATGAATGAATGAATAAATAAAATCTTAAAAAAAAGATTTATTTATTTGAGGGAGAGAAAGCATGCATGCACATGAGGGGAGGGACAGAGGGAGAAGGAGAGAGAATTTCAAGCAGACTCCCTGCTGAGTACAGGGCTCAATCCCAGGACCCTGGGATCATGACCTGAGCCAAGATCAAGAGTCAGCAGCTCAACCAACTAAGCCACCCAGAAGCACCTGTATATATTGTCTTTTTAGTTAAAGACTTTTATATCGGTCTTCTAAGTATATCCAACTGAATCTAAATAACATAGCAATTTGATGTCAGTAGCATTGTTTTTAAAAGTATATATACATAAGCTCTTTTTAAATGTCTGGTAATATACGTCAATCCTTTTTGCCTTGGATTCATATTTTCTATTCTATTTCTCACGGAGTTTTGTCTGAATATAATGTTTCATGTTTAAAATATTTATTAATGACCTTATGATAGTTTTTATATAACAAACAATCATTTAAATTTGAGTTTGGGATGCCTGGGTGGCTCAGCGGTTGAGCGGCTGCTTTTGGCTCAGGGTGTGATCCCGTATTCCTGGGATCAAGTCCCACATCAGGCTCCTTGCATGGAGCCTGCTTCTCCTCCCTCTGCCTGTATCTCTGTCTTCCTGTGTCTCTCATGAGTAAAAAAAATAAAAATAAAAATAACTTTAAGTTCACTTTAAATTTGTCTCAAAAGATGTTACAGTTAAACATATCTCTTTGCAATTTGGTAATCTTTACAATTAGTGTTACATGCAGTGTATAAATGGACATAAAAATTTTCACATTTGCTTTATTAAGATATACCACTCAAATGGGACAGGATTTAACATCCATTATTTTCGTGTTTTTAATTTTTGTAGATATGAACTGTTCACACGTAAAAGGGAAAGAAGGAGTTGTGTTATTGTAATGTCTCTCAAAATTTTTAACTTTTTCTGAGTGATATACATATTAAAAGATCACAGTGGTCCTTATCTTTTGTTTATTGGGACTTTTTTGATTACTGACTCAATTTCTCTGCCAGTTATTGGTCTGTTCTTTGGTCTCCCTATTTCTTCCTGTTTCAGTTGTGGTAGTTTATATGTGCTTGGAATTTATCCATATCTTCCAGTTTTTCTAATTGTTGACCTATAGTTTTTCATAATATCTCTTATAATTGATTGTATTTCTATGGTATTGGTTGTTATTTCTCCTCCCTCATTTGTGATATTAATTATTTGGACCTATTGTCTTTTCTTTTTGATAAGCCTGGCTAGAGTTATTACTAATTTTTCCAAGAACCAGCTCCTGTTTTCACTTATCTGTTCTGTTGGGTTTTTTTAGTTTCTGTATCATTTATCTCTGCTCTGACCTTTATTATTTCCTTCCTTCTGTTGGCTTTAGGCCTTATTTCTTGTTCTTTTTCTAACTCCTTTAGGTTAAGTTAGG